AAAATTTGTCAACATAACGTACTTGACTTAAGATAAGCCCGTCAATGATTACATAGGCTAGGCCATATTTTTCATGTCAAATCTTGTTTTTAGCGTATCTTTCATAGACTTTATCTCACTGCTTACACAATCAATATATAAATACAAAATAACGTAACAGTATATAAATCACTTTTTTTCATTTAAATGTATAATATATCAAAACAAAACTTTCTCATACAAATAGAATTATACAAACCCATAAACATTTTTCAATGAAATGATCGTTGGATAATAAAACAAACGGTCATTGGCTTAGCGGTATCGTAGTCTTTGGTTTTCTATGAGGTCATGAGTTCAAACCTCATCAAAGGTGAGGAGAATATGTAAGTTTATTTGTTACATTTATATATATATATATATATACTAAAAAAAGATAATCTATATTACCTTATAAAGCAAATTTATCAAAAGTCTTAAAAATAATTTTTAATGCACAAAGTACTATACATTTATGCACAAATTCTTAAAAACAACTCATAATACATTAATTACTACTTTTATGCATTCAATCTTAAAATCTTCTAATCTACAATTAAAATAACATATGGTATAAGTTACCAATGCACATTATTACCTTTTCTTTCCATATTCTCAAGATACTTTAGACACATTTCACTCATGCATTCACCTATCATACCTCTATGTCTTCTTCTCATCTCCCAATGTGAGATTCAAAATTAAATTCATCATAAGTTATTAAAAGTTCTCTCATTCAATTGCTTTAGAACTTTCAGTCTCGCTCTCGATCTCTTGATTTCTTTGTTCTTGGTGTAAATCGAACACATTTATGAAGTCGGTTAAATATGTTAGATTTTAAATATATTGGATTTTAAATTGTCATACAATTTTTTTCATCGACAGACTGTAATTGGAACTATAACTCTTATTTATTCAAATTGTATTAATATGTAAAGACCAGATGTAACTTATATCATCGTTAAATCTTCTATAATAAAACCAGTAAAACTTCAAAATCGTTAGAATTTACAGCTCCCGCCACATTACACGGATACACAACTGGTAATTAATTATATAAAAGTTTGTTTCCTTATTGGAATCCAAATCCATGACCCACTTTTCATCTTCTTTTCAGCATCATTTCGTTCCTGGACCGGAACTTGCCATTCCGTCTGGGCCACGCCTTTAGTTGCCCTTTTCTCCAACTTCCTTTCCACTTTCCATCCTCCACATTCCACAAGATGCGTACTGAATGGAAAAGCTATATTCATTTAATTTTTTATTATTTTTGGAATTAAATTTTCTAAATATCTAAAGACATAATCGTATATTAATTAAAATATATTAAAAATATGTTAATTTTTTTATAAATTACATTATTATAATCGTCTTATCAATATGTCCAAAATGGGTCTAATATTGAATATATTTTGATTTAATTATATTTTATTAAATGTTATAAATATTTACAAATTATTTTTAATACTAACACTTTATATACTTATACTTATAGATTAAATAAATCACCATATGGGTAGAAAGTGTAAGTATTAAAGATAATTCGTATGTATTTATGATATTTAATAATATGATTAAAACAAGAAAATATTCAATATTAAACTCATTTTAAACGTATTTACGAGACATAATAGTGTAATTTGTAAAAAAAGAAATGTATTTATATATTGTAGTTGATATGTGATTATGTATGGTAATATAGTAAATATATAAAGGGAAAAATACAATAAAAACCAATGGATTTTCTTGTTTGAAATGATTAAGTCCTTAGACTTTTTTTTGGAACAAATAAGTC